ACCAATATCTCTTATGTATACAGATGCAAAATCCTAAGCAAAATTATTATTCACCAAAAATCCAGAAATACGTAAAAACAATATACAATAACTTGAATTTTACTCCAGGAATGCGAGGCTGATTCAACATGAAAACATTAATTAATGTAATTCACTCCATTAATAGATTAAAGAACAAACTGAGTCACCTCAGCTTTCAACAACTGTATAAGAACTCATAGCAATCTAGTAAAAAAAGGTAATTTTAAAGAATAAAATTAGTATGCACAAAAAATTCAGGGCAACCATTGTACTCAATGATGTAATGTTAAGTGTATTCTTTTAAAAATGAATAATGAGCCTGAGATGCCCACTATTACTGTATATTCAGCCAGTACAGTAAGATAAGAAAAGGAAATTTGAATCATAATGATTGGAAAGGAACAACTCACAGAAAATATAACTATACAGAAAATCCAAAAAAATTTTATGAAATTTTAGAATTTGGAAGAGATATTAGAGAATCTGTTAATCTTAAGATTGAAAGTTTATGAATGGACTCCAGGCAGCACACTCACCCATTCGTGGTCCCAATCTGAGGAATCAGTGTTTGAAAGACAAAGGCACTTCTTCTATTTTCATGATTTAATTCCATTAATTTTCAGTAAACATTGCCTACTTGTTGTGAATTCAAAAAAATATGAATACTCCCTGGCTGGTGTAGCTCAGTGCATTGAGTTTGGGCTGTGAACCAAAGGGTTGCCAGTTCGATTCCCAGTCAGGGCACATGCCTGGATTTTGGGCCAAGTCCCCAGAGGGGCCCACATGAAAGGTAACCACACATTGATGTTTCTCTCCCTCCTTCTCCCTCCTTTCCCCTCTCTCTAAAAATAAATAAAATCTTTAAAAAAACATATAAATACCATAAAACTAGATAAGATAAGCTAGAACAAGGAGAAATATTTGTAATACACATAACTGACAAAGGATTATTATCCATGATATGCTGAGAACTCTTATGATTCAACTAGAAAAAGAGAGTCAACCTAATAGAAAAATGGGCAAAATATGTGAATAGACAGTTCATGATAGAGAAAACATGATAGTCCAATAAATATATGAAAATTTTTTTGTACCATTAGTGATCATGGTGATAATTGAGCTTACTGTATAATTTAAGAAATCTAAAAAAGAACAACTGAAGAAAGCAAAGTTAAGGTTAAAACCATAATAAAATATCCATGAATTAGTAAAAATTAAAATTTCTGACAATACCTTATATTGGTGAGGATGTGGAGAAACAAGAACTCTTGTATAATGCTAATGTAAATGTAAATTACAAAAACACTTTGAAAAATAAATGGTATTGGCAACTTGATAAAGTAGATGTGCATAACACAGCATCTGGCCATTCGCTAATTCCATGAAAATTCTTGCACATGGACCCAAAGAAATATGTACAAAAATGTCCACAGTAGCATTGTAAAACCTGAAAAACAATTCAACAGTGCAATAAATATATTGCACTATAATCACATGTAGAATTCTATGCAGCAGTGAAAATTTAATAATTTTATGCTTCAAAATCGATGAATCTCAAAAACTTAATGTTGGGTAAAATAAGCATATCATAGAAAATAACGAAGTATTAACCTATTTATATAAATAAAAACATGGTCAAAATGAATTATTGCATGATGTAGCCATAAACACATGTTGTAAAATTTAAGGAGATAATTATCACAGACTTAAGGCAAGATGAAATTAGAGGATGTAACAGCAAAGACACTTGACAAGCTTCTAAACTATTGCTAACTATTTCTCAAGATGTGTGTTTAGTACTTAAATGTTGAGGTATTCATTTATTATTTTACACAAAACCACAGAATGTGCACTGTTTGAATAAGACATGTCAACCAACAGTCCTTGGTGCTGAGTCCTGCAGGGTCCAGCGGCACAGCCTTTCCTATCACCCAAGCAGGGTATTTGAGGATTGCCTTTCATGTGGGCTGAGTATACCCTCTTCTTAAAGCTGAGCTTTGGTTGCTGTTAGCAGATCAATAGCAATCCCTGGGAGGGATTTACCCAGGCCAGTATGCTGCAAGGATTGACCGTGACCACTAATCATTAACCTCTGTCTTCTGTGGAGGATCAGCTGTGCAGGGGGAGGGTGGTGGTGCTCCGACATGGTCTGTAGCTGTCCATTGGGTGTGCTGGCCTTGGAATTTTCCTGGTGGTGCAGGCCACGGTCAGCCTCCATCTGCGTTTTTCCCAGGGCCACCCTGCATGAGCTATAAAGCAATCTGGATAGCTGCTACTTGTGCTGGGCTTGGAGATTCTCAGGAGAAGCCAAATTGTGAATCTGGTCTGGCTGCTGCTAGTGCTGGGCATGGTGCTTACTGAGGCCAGCTGTTGCTTTTTTTGAGAGGACTTAGGAAGTTGTGCAGTATGAGCTGAGACCAGCCATTCATATGGAAAAGCAACTTGGGTGGACCCATCAGTTGGGTGTTGTTGAGTTTCTGGGGGTCTGCAAGGCAGGTCAAACAGTGTTACCCAGGTTGGTGGAGTCTCAGATATGCACCAGCCTGCGGGCTTTGTGGTTCTGTGGGAGAAAGGCTCATAAAAGGGACAATGGCCTCTGCTCACCCTGATGCCAGACACTTTAGCATCTCCTGGTATGCCACTGGTGCTCTTCAAGCTTCCACTCCACTGCTGAAGCTCAGAGGGAGTGAGTCTGAGTAGGTGAGTCCATGTGTGGGTTTATTAAGAGGAACTGCTTGGGCCTCTACAAGTTTCTTCCACCAACTCAGTCTCTGCTGGTTTTTGCAGCCAGAAGTTGTGGGAACTTATCTCCCTGGCACTGGAACCCTAGGCTGAGGAGCCTGGTGTGGGACTGGGACTCCTCGCTGCTGGGATATCCCTTCCAAATTTTTATCTACCACACATGGGTGTGGGGCCAGCCCATTCCGCGTCTGCACGCCTCCTACCAGTCTGGATGGATGGGGTTTCTTTAATTCCATAGTTGTCAGACTTCCATTCAACTCAATTTCTAACGGTTCTGAGTGATGGTTGTTCTATATTTTAGTTGTAACTTTGATGCGGTTGTGCAAAGAGGCAAACCATGCCTGCCTATGCCACCATCCTTAGGTCAGTGGTTCTTTACTTCGACATCTCCATTCTGCTGCTGAGCCTGTCCAGTCAGTTTTATATTTTTTAATTCTAAAACTCAATTCTATAATTGACTATTATATTTTTAGTTTTAAAATTTTCACTTGGTTCTTCTTTATATCTCCTATTTCTTTGCCAAGACTTTTAATTTTTTCATTTGTTTCAAGTGTGTTCATGATTTCCTGTTAAAACATTTTTATGTCTTTTTAAAAATATCACTTAGAAAATCCCTAAATCTGTATCATTTCAATGTTAGTATATATTAATTGTGTCTTTTCTTATTCAAGTTGAGATTTTCCTGGTTCTTGGTGTGGTGAGTGATTTTTGATTGTTTGCTGAACATTTTGATATTGTGTTGGGAGACTATATTTTTAAAATCTTCAACTGTAGCAGGCCTCTGATAAATCTGTGTCTGTTAGATATGTATGTAAGGTGTTATCTCCTTACCACCGGGAACAGGTGTTAAGCCTAATATTCCCATTCATTTTTTTCTATGTTTGGCTAAAGTAGGATGGACATTGTCCAAAGAGGTCTCTTTCCTGATCCTTGGGTAAAGAAAGCAGATTTTCTTAGGACTATTTCTTGTCTGCACCTGTTGGCATTTCTTGGTTGCAGACTTTCTGGTGCCAAATCTGGGGTATATAGAGGCTTAAAGAAAACCTAGACAACTTATCATTGTGTCACTTCTCAAGTTCTGAAGACTGTACCTACTTTGCCATTATCCTTTCCACCTTTATGACTCTTCTTATATTTGTTTTATACATTAAGTCTAGATATTTTAGTTATAGTTAGCAGGAATAATAGGGAAAATACATTTACTACATCTGGACAGAAATAAAAGTTCTTCTTTCTTTAAAAACACACACACACAAAAATTATGCAGTGGTTGGGCTATTGGATCTTTAAAGCTCATACCTGTTTTGATCTTCATAAGTTACTGTTGTAAAATAATGAAGGTGATAGTGACTGTAAATAGAAGAGCTTGAGAGAGATAATTTGTCTTTCTGTCACAATTCTTCCTACCTAAGTGTGATTAGGTAGAAAGAATGCTTTTCAAAAAAAAATTTAGCAGGTATTTTGCATTGAATAAATCCATACATTGGCATTTACTTATGGCAAATAGAATCGGGAGATGAAATAAGGCCTAGAAAGTTTCCGACCTGGCTGATGTTCTACATCTCTTTTGATGTTCCATATCAAGTAGTGGAGTAACTGTAACTTCTCTCTTGCTAAGTGGAAAACTTCCTGTTTCCCCATGCTCTGGTACTGGTGTTTAACACTTTATACACTTATTTTTCTAAGTTGGGTGAAGCTCCTTAAGAGTGCAGGGAACAGCTCCTCTACCTCTTGTTCCTACAGATGCCTAGTACAAGCCTTACATACAGTAGAGGCTCACAGATACCTGACACAATTATTCCTTCTGTCAGCCTGGGTAGCATAAACTTGGTGCCCCTAAGGTACAGCTACCTTGTTTTCAGACTTTGCAGAGTAGGCTCTGGACTATGGGACAGCATCTGACCAGGGCAGCCCTGTCTTTAAAAACCATTGAACTTGATGAGAAGACCTATGCTGGCTACTCAATGCAATGGAACTATTTATTGAAATCTTTTTTCCAGGATCTTTGTGTTTAGGGAGTCCTTTGAGACCTTAAGGCCAAAATCAGAGTTCACATCTTTGGTTACCAGCCATTCTTCCCACCCCTGGTGACTCCCATCTACCCACCTACCCTCGCCCTGTCAACAGAATAAATGTATTTGTTGACTGAATGTACCTATCCGTGAGTGAATGGAGAAAAATAGAGAAAAAGAATGGAATGACGTTGGAAGATACAAAGACTGCTGGACACCAACAAATTCTCATGATTTGCAAATTTATTGGCTGAGGAAGCATCGGGGTTGGGAGGTAGGTGTACAGGAACTAAGGCAGAAAAACTGCAGAACAAAACACAGCATGAATGCTCAGTGACTTCTTCCATGTGGGTTAAAACATAAATTTGGAAACCTCAGTGCAATATCATGAGAGCACTAAGCCCATCGGCGCCCACGGAAAACAGCTCCAGCTCCTTCGCCTCCGTGGCGTCCAGAGGGCCTTATTTGCACGGCCAGGTAGGCGCCTGCTTCTGCTGGGTCTGGTGGCACACCGGCACGCCCCCAGAGGAGCAGCCGTCGCCGCCGCCGCCGCCGCCGCCTGAAGAGCCGCCGGAGAAGCAGCCACCGCCGCCGCCACCCGAACTGCCGCCGGAGAAGCAGCCACCGCCGCCGCCGCCCCCTGAGGAGCCGCCGGAGAAGCAGCCACCGCCGCCGCCGCCCCCTGAGGAGCCTCCAGAGAAGCAGCCGCTGCCGCCACCGCCGCCCCCAGACGACCCCCCTCCACAGCTCTGCTGGGGCGCGCACGAGGTCTGGGTGGTCTGCTGGGAAGAGCAAACGGAGCCGCCGCCAGAGGAGCCCCCGCCGCAGCCGCCGCCGCCAGAATAACCGCCACCCCCGCAGCCGGAGCCGCCGCCGGAGGAGCCGCCCCCGCAGCCGGAGCCGCCACCGCCGCCGCTAGAGACGTCTCCGTAGCTCTGGTACGTGACCTGCTCGCAAGAGCCGCCGCCGGAGTAGCCACCGCCGCCGGACGAGCCCCCGCCGCAGCCGGAGCCTCCACCGCCGCCAGAGTAGCCACCGCAGCCGGAGCCGCCGCCGGACGAGCCGCCGCCAACGCACTTGACGACTCCACCGGAACCACCTCCGCAGCCTCCGGAGCCGCCGCCGCCGGAGTAGCCCCCACCACAGCCGGAGCTGCCGCCGCCGCCGCCGCCGCCGCCGCCAAGGGACTTGACGACTCCACCGGAACCACCTCCGCAGCCTCCAGAGCCGCCGCCGCCGGAGTAGCCCCCACCACAGCCGGAGCCGCCGCCTCCGCCGCCGGAGTAGCCCCCGCCACAGCCGGAGCCGCCGCCGGACGAGCCGCCGCCAACGGACTTGACGACTCCACCGGAACCACCTCCGCAGCCTCCGGAGCCGCCGCCGCCGGAGTAGCCCCCACCACAGCCGGAGCCGCCGCCTCCGCCGCCGGAGTAGCCCCCGCCACAGCCGGAGCCGCCGCCGCCGCCGCCGCCAACGGACTTGACGACTCCACCGGAACCACCTCCGCAGCCTCCAGAGCCGCCGCCGCCGGAGTAGCCCCCGCCACAGCCGGAGCCGCCGCCGCCGCCGCCGCCGCCGCCGCCGCCGCAGCCGCCACCGGAGCCGCCGCCGCCGCCGCCGCCGCCGGAGGTTTTCCCACAGAACACTGGCGGCTGAGGGGTGGGCTGCTTTCTCTGGTGAGACATCTCGTCGGAGGAGGAAGGGAACTGTGGCAGGAGAGCAGAGAGCGCATCACTGGACCAGTGGCAAGAGGATTCAGGGGAGGAGGCAGCTGTACCCATGACAACCCATCATCATCCCAAGTAGCACCGCCTGGCCAGACTCCATGGAGTCTTCTGGTTCAAATCTCTGAGAGCTTTCAGTTGGAATTCTTAGGATTGGTGCTTTAAAAAAAGAAGTTCGTCCGCTCTCTACATAGCCTAGTTAGTGGTGCCCATTTCTTTCTCTCTCTCTCTCCCAGCTCTGCCTCTGGCCTCTTGTGTGATTTTGGAGCTCCCACCCGTTTCCTAGCTTCCTGTAAAAGGAGAGGTTAGAGCACTTCATCTCTAAGAGCTTTTTAAATCCTAACAGTGATTTCCTGAGTACAAGTAGAAGATTATCACAAACCTTGACCTGGGGTGTGGGGGTGACTTTACCCATCCCCTGCAGAACACAAGGTTTGTCAGAACATCAGAGGGTTGTTGTACCGTATTCTCTGGAGAAACTGTTAGTTCAAGCGCTTGGTCTATCCCGCTAAGCTTGGCCATGATCCGGAGTCAGTTATTAGAAAAGGCAGGCTCCCCTGTGGGCCTGTCTGGACCCCATTGGTCTTCTGGATGAACATCTCTCATTAGATGCCGTTAACTACCACCCTTACTACTTGTTAAGTCCACGCTTGATGGAGGGGACCAAACTAATAGGAAATGGTGTCCCCTCTCATTTTCCTCTCAGAACATCTCCCTCTGTAAAACTGGATTCTCAGGGTTACTAACATCTCCCCCATCTGCAGCATTATCTGACTCATTCTCCTTACTATTCTGTGAGAATAGGCTCAGCCTCTCCTGACAAGTTCTTGAGGTCCAGCCCAGTCACAGGCCTTCTGGGACAGTCTCTGCAGAGTGCCCCCGCTGTGCCCTGCACCAGGTCTGCCCCTACAGGGGTACCAGAGAGTTAGGAGATAGTCTTGCTTTGTGAAGGTTACATTCTGGCCAGAGAAGACCAAACACCATCTGCACAAGAGCAGTTCAACCCCACTTCTTTCCTGCCAGAATCCCCTCGAAACATGAATGCAGCTGGGAAGGCAGAGGTCCAGTCACTCTCAAAGCAGAGAGATTCCTTGCCTAGCCTATGCAGGCCTGGGCCAGACCAGCTGAAAAGTCCAGGGTCAGTAGAACCCACACTTACCTGAAGGAAGGGTGAGTGAGGAGAGGGAGACGCTGGCTGTGTGAAGAGCACTGGAGCTTCTGAGGTTTTATATCTTAGCTATGAGTCAGCTATTGATTCGGACCAGCCTCTTATTACGTGACCCATGTTGTTACCCCACCTCTCTGCGATTGCAAGCATTCATGAAGATTTTGGCATTCTTGAGATGGGCAGCCTAGTGTGTGACTTGCCCATTCTCTGATGCAACCGTGTGGCAGGCTGGGCAGGGGGATGGCCAGCCAGAGTAGATGGCTGACATTGTTTTCAAAACTTCTAGCATGGGGTACATGCCATAACCAGAGGGCCATGTTTGAGGAATATGTCCTTGACTCTTGAGGTAGCCTAAGAGACTCACACTGAAGATTTCAGTTCTTGGTCCAAGGAGCAGAACCTTTCAAATCCTACAGTTTGGATTCTGATCCCATTGCTAGGAAACCCTGTAATTTTAAAGAGAACTTGCCCCTGTTCTTACAAAGTCTATTCCCCAGTGTCCTACGTGCTTTGCTGGGATGTTTCTGTCTTGTCCACTAGCTTTTCCCTAGCACCCAGTTCTGGGCTGCACATCACGGGTACTGCTGCAACTAATAGGACACTGAAGAGTACTTTGATTTGTTCCTGGAGACAGCAGGGGATCTGTGAAAAGTGATCATTGATACTGAGTTTTCTTGCAGAGGAGCAAGCTAGAGATCAACCACATAGTCCTTGCCAACACAGCCCTTTGGCTTTGGTTTCATGTGTTCTTGTGTGGGAACAGTGACCTCAACCTAGTAGGCAGCCATGGAATGGAATGGACTTGAGGTTAGGTGTCTGAATTTGGGTGCTCCCTTTGCTATTTGCCTCCTGTGTCACTTTGGGTAAAGTCACAGCACCATAATAGTACCTGCACATGGGAGACTCTCAGTATTTTCTGACTTGAATGAACAAGCTCAGTTACTTTATCTGTCAAATAGGAATAGGCCCGTTTATGGGCCCGTCAAGAAGGAGTAGTTTTATGTAAAGTGTAGAAGGTGAAGCTGTTCTTTTATTGTTTCCTTGTATGATAGTACATTTTTGTTTCTAACTTGTACTATGCTTGGACACCAAGGTCAGGAGGGAGTCCATGAATGACTTGAAGCAAGCTCTTCTTTAGGAAAACAACTAAAAACTTTCTTGTTGACCCTGGGCCGGTAGCATCACCTCTGTGTTTGAAGAACAGTATGCTCCTCCTTCTTTCATCATTTGGACTCAATTGCTATTGTTAAAGATATCACATTTGAACTTTGTTCCACCCAGCTATGTGTTGTAATGATAGCTCCAATGATAAATTGGTGGTTAATTATGATGGAGTTTTAATAATCCAAAAGATCCTTATTAGGCTGTGAACTTTGGAAACTTGTGGCACTAGTTTTAGTTTGGACAGCATGAACTCAGGTGAACACAGGTGCTCCCTCCTTGGAGAATAGCCAGGAGGGAGATGGCATCTGTTGGGGAAGGCAGGTTTTTCAGTTTGAAGCTGAAGCACATGGAGATTTTGGAGGGAAACAGCTACCAACTAGATGATTGTCATGGATACAAAAAAAGAACATTTTTTTCAGTTGGATTGTACTAGAGAAGGGGAGCTCACGTGGCCCATGTTTCAGCACTTATCTGTGGGCCCATGTTAACCCCATCTGTGTGTTCTTTAGTTCTCAGGAAAATGTAAGCAAAAGTATGTCAGTGGTGTGTTCTTGAGAAGGAAAATCTTTCATTCTGAAATCATGGACTTTCTACTTTTTTTTTGGTGTTAAAATACAATTTTTTAAAAAAGTGATGGTGACAGGAAATTTTGTTTCTTTCATGTCCTTATCAAAATGAAAATTTGGCTATTATATATTGGTTACTATACACACACACACATTTTCTTTTTGAGAGTGATGTTACTTTTCTTTTTTTTTTTTAAAGATTTTATTTATTTATTTTTAGAGAGGGAAGGGAGAAAGAGAGAGAGAGAGAGAGAGAGAGAGAGAGAGAGAGAGAGATCAATGTGTGGTTGCTGGGGGTTCTGGCCTGCAACCCAGGAATGTACCCTGGCTGGGAATCGAACCTGGGACACTTTGGTTCCCAGCCCGTGCTCAATCCACTGAGCTATGCCAGCCAGGGCGTGATGTTACTTTTCTATGACATTGCAAAGTTTGGGCACCTCAAGTGTGAGTGATCTGAAAGAGCTAGTAGTTTTCAAATTGCCAATATTAATTTGGAGGGCGTATGCCTTAAGAAAGATACGATTCTTTTTCTATCAGACTGAGGAGTCTAATTTTTTTTTCTTTCATTAATCTAGCTAACACAAGTGTACTGGACGCTGTGCTAAGCATTAAGGAAGAGGCCAAAAGCCTTTCAAAGCTGTGCATGGATCTCCTTGGTGGATTTGGGGAAGGGAGTAACTCCTTGTCTGTCTCTGCCACCTGTATAGTATTTCATTAGGAAAACCTTCTAACTAGCACATCTACTTTGCTAACATGTAGAAGAGGCTGATGCAATATAGTGTTGAGAGCAGTGCCAGATCCTTGGGTTCTCAGCCTGAGTTAACCTGCCTGAGGTGTGATTGTATGAATCTGGTTCCCCAATTTATTTCTCTAGACCAGCAGTAGTCCCAAAGGGTTATCTATATGGACAGCCATTGATGATCTCAATTTAGCATATCAGCAAGGAAATGATGGAAGTTTGTAGAATTAGTACGCTTAGGTATTTGGAGTTTTGTAAAACTTGGCATGTCAGACTTTTAAGATTTATACCCTTTAGACATTTAACTCCTACTCTGTGCTTGCTGGCAGGTCTGGGATCTGCAGTCTGACAGATTAGGACATGGTTCCTGCCTGGACATATATCCTTAGAGGGGACAGACTGTAAAGCAAATGTTTCACAGTGCCCAGGGTGGTGCAAAGCATTAATAGGTGTTCTGTAAATCCTGGTGGAATTGGAAGGGATTCTTCAGGCCCATTGACTAACAACAGCCATAGTATGAGGGAGACACGGTCCCTGTGTCCAGCAATCCCTAGTCTGAGGGGGGAGATTACAGCTTTTGAGTTTGGGAAACCCTCAGTGTGATAGAAGCCTGCTCATCACAATCTTTGATACCTAAAGCTGTAAATGAATTCTCATGACTGAGTGCTGACAACATTCCTGGCTGAGGGAAAAAGGGCAACAGGTGTCTCGTAAAGAATAAAGTGGACACAGGGTAGGGGATTGGGAGTGCTGGCAGGGCAGGCATAGAGCTTGGAAGCTTTTAAAGTGGATTATTTGAAGGGCAACAGTTTTCTCTAAGACTGTGGATCCAGAAGGTGTCTCAGAGTCTCAGCACCCTGTTGGCTGCAATTTTCTGACTCTCTCCAGCCTCCTGGGCAAGCAGTTTTTGAAGAGATGGTTGACTCTGGTTGCTAAGTGAGGAAAACAGCTTACAAGTCTGGGAGAAGTCCAGCTTTGTAGTGGCTCACAACTCTGTCCTTTTCCAGGAAGCTTTCTAAGGTTCATTCCACCCATGGTTCCATCTTTCTTGCCACTTCCCCTCTCTAAGGCTTTAAGGAACACTTGCATGACATATCCATTAGCCTTGTCTCCTTCAAGTTATACATTTTTTAATGGAAGTTATGTGTATATTTACTTTCTCATTTTTTAATTGTTATTCTGTTATAGTTATCCCAATTTTTCTCCTTTTGCTCTCCTCTGCCCAGCCCACCCCTGCTCCCAATCAATCCCTACACCATTGTCCATGTCCATGGGTCATTCATACATGTTCTTTGACTAGTTCCTTCCCCTTCTTTCTACTATTACTCCTCTCCCCCAGCCCCTATGGCTGCTGTCTGTTCCATGTTTCTGGTTCTATTTGCTCATTAGTTAATTTTGTTCATTAGATTGCCCTTAAAAGTGAGATCATGTGGTATTTCTCTTTCACTAATTGGCTTATTTCACTTAGCATAATATTCTTTAGTTCCACCCATGCCGTTTCAAAGGATAAGAGTTCCTTCTTTATGCTGTATAACATTCCATTGTGTAAATGTACCACAGTTTTTTGATCCACTCATCTACTGATGTGTACTTAGGTTGTTTCCAGCACTTGGCTATTGTAAATAGCACTGCTATGAACATATGGGTTCAAAGTTCTTTTGAATAGTGCTGCTATGAACATAGGGGTTTATAAGAATTCATAAGGTGTTTCAGCATTCTTAGGGTATATTTCCAGCAGTGGAATCACTGGGTCAAAAGGCAGTTCCATTTTTAATTTTTTGAGGAAATTCAGTACGGTTTTCCACAACCAAAAATACACTAGGGTTCCTTTTCTCCACATCCTCACCAGCACTTTTGTTTATCGATTTATTAATGACAGCCATTCTGGCAGGTATGAGGTGATATCTCATTATGGTTTTAATTTGCATCTCTCTAATGGCAAGTGATGTTGAACATCTTTTCATATGTCTATGGGCCATCTTTATGTCTTCTTTGGACAAGTATCTATTCAGATCCTTTGTCTATTTTTTAATTGGATTGTTTGTCTTCTTGGTGTTGAGTCATATGAGTTCTTTATATATTCTGGAGATTAAACCCTTGTCCAATGTATCATTGGCAAATATGTTCTCCCATATAGTCAGTTCCCTCTTCATTTTGATGATAGTTTCTTTAGCCATGCAGAAGCTTTTTAATTTGATGTAGTCCCATTTGTCTATTTTTTTCAAGTTATAATTGTCCTTGAGAGGATAGTTCTTATTAGTTCTTTACTATGCACCCTAAGATTTATAAAGTTTATAGCCTCTTTGGGCTTTATCAGAACACATTGACTGTTGAGGCCCTTGCAGGTTCTATCATTCTTCTTTCCATGGAGGGGGAGCACAGCTGAGTGGTTCAAAGGTTCCCACGTAGCTTGTGGAATAGTATGCAGGGTGAGTAGTGCCCTCATGACATGCTTGTCTGGTTCAGACACTTCCCATGTAGACAGACTCTTGGTTTATGGACCACTGTCACATTCATGTCTTGTTCTTCCCCACAACAGTTCTGTGTGCTCAGTGATATGTTATCCTCATTTCCCAAATGAGAAGTGGCTCATAGAGGCTAATGGGCTTGCTCAAATTCCCATAGCTGTTAAACGACGAAGCCTGGATTCAG